CCATTAGTGGTCTGAACAGTAACTGAACCCAATTATTCTAGCGTGTAATTTGGGTTGATATATCCCTACACAGGGAACTTAACCTGTAATTGTTTTTAGATCATTGCTAAAACATAATCGTACTCACAATATGCTGTTAGAATAAGAGTAAAATAGGACTGGAGTAAATTGCAGTTTAAACTTACAAAGAACAGATGTTGGTTGAGAGAATGATCCTCCAGTTGGTTTCTGCTCAGGTTAATACTTTCCAAATAAGGCAGACCAAAGAACCCCCGTGAGGAAATTATACTTATGTTGTTCTCTGTTCAAAACACACACACAGAAATACACATTAAATTCAAAATCCTGTGCTAAATGACATTTCACAAAACCCATTGTCTATTACCCCGTCCACCAATCACCTGCCAGGTCTAAGATTGTGACCCCCAAGTCCCTGATGATTGGCAGGTGAGTCATTCCGATGCCCCTGCAGCTAATTTGCCCATTTGGAGTTTTACAGGCCCCAGGGAGGGACTCTCTAAAGCTTGTGTGTGCTAATGTCTGATTGGTGGGTGACACGGTCCCCTCTTCTTCCTCTTCCTCCTACGAATAAACAAGAGATTCCATCCTTAATAATGTCCTCATGAGCTCCTATGAATGGGGACAATATAATAGTTCAACCTGTACCTCCTCATCCTCTTCCTCTTCATCTTCCTCTTCTTCAGAATCATTTTCTTCCTCCTCCTCCTCCTTCTCGTCTTCTTCTTCTTCCTTTTTTGCATCTATTAGCCTGGATTTATCATTTGGTATTTTCTTCAGTAGGATTCGGAGATCATTGTTCTGTTCAGCGCCACACTTCTTCCCGTGAGATATATTGACCCCAGCCTGCATATGGAATAATTACAAGTAAAGGAAATAAAAACGGAGATATATTGACCCCAGCCTGCATATGGAATAATTACAAGTAAAGGAAATAAAAACGGAGATATATTGACCCCAGCCTGAATATGGAATCATTACAAGTAAAGGAAATAAAAACAGAGATATATTGACCCCAGCCTGAATATGGAATAATTACAAGTAAAGGAAATAAAAACAGAGATATATTGACCCCAGCCTGCATATGGAATCATTACAAGTAAAGGAAATAAAAACAGAGATATATTGACCCCAGCCTGAATATGGAATAATTACAAGTAAAGGAAATAAAAACAGAGATATATTGACCCCAGCCTGCATATGGAATCATTGCAAGTAAAGGAAATAAAAACAGAGATATATTGACCCCAGCCTGCATATGGAATCATTGCAAGTAAAGGAAATAAAAACAGAGATATATTGACCCCAGCCTGCATATGGAATCATTGCAAGTAAAGGAAATAAAAACAGAGATATATTGACCCCAGCCTGCATATGGAATCATTACAAGTAAAGGAAATAAAAACAGAGATATATTGATCCCAGCCTGCATGTGAAGCATTACAAGTAAAGGAAATAAAAACAGAGATATATTGACACCAACCTTATATATTTCTGCATACCTACCACTCCATTTATAATAAATAAAAACAGAGATATATTGACACCAACCTTATATATTTCTGCATACCTACCACTCCATTTATAATAAATAAAAACAGAGATATATTGACCCCAACCATTTATATTTCTGCATACCTACCACTCCATTTATATTAAATAAAAAGAGAGATATATTGACCCCAACCATATATATTTCTGCATACCTATCACTCCATTTATAATAAATAAATACAGAGATATATTGACCCGAACCATATATATTTCTGCATACCTACCACTCCATTTGTAATAAATAAAAACAGAGATATATTGACACCAACCTTATATATTTCTGCATACCTACCACTCCATTTATAATAAATAAAAACAGAGATATATTGACCCCAACCATATATATTTCTGCATACCTACCACTCCATTTATATTAAATAAAAAGAGAGATATATTGACCCCAACCATATATATTTCGCATACCTACCACTCCATTTATAATAAATAAAAACAGAGATATATTGACCCGAACCATATATATTTCTGCATACCTACCACTCCATTTATAATAAATAAAAACAGAGATATATTGACACCAACCTTATATATTTCTGCATACCTACCACTCCATTTATAATAAATAAAAACAGAGATATATTGACACCAACCTTATATATTTCTGCATACCTACCACTCCATTTATAATAAATAAAAACAGAGATATATTGACCCCAACCATTTATATTTCTGCATACCTACCACTCCATTTATATTAAATAAAAAGAGAGATATATTGACCCCAACCATATATATTTCTGCATACCTATCACTCCATTTATAATAAATAAATACAGAGATATATTGACCCGAACCATATATATTTCTGCATACCTACCACTCCATTTGTAATAAATAAAAACAGAGATATATTGACACCAACCTTATATATTTCTGCATACCTACCACTCCATTTATAATAAATAAAAACAGAGATATATTGACCCCAACCATATATATTTCTGCATACCTACCACTCCATTTATATTAAATAAAAAGAGAGATATATTGACCCCAACCATATATATTTCGCATACCTACCACTCCATTTATAATAAATAAAAACAGAGATATATTGACCCGAACCATATATATTTCTGCATACCTACCACTCCATTTATAATAAATAAAAACAGAGATATATTGACACCAACCTTATATATTTCTGCATACCTACCACTCCATTTATAATAAATAAAAAACAGAGATATATTGACCCCAACCATATATATTTCTGCATACCTACCACTCCATTTATATTAAATAAAAACAGAGATATATTGACCCCAACCATATATATTTCTGCATACCTACCACTCCATTTATAATAAATAAAAACAGAGATATATTGACCCCAACCATATATATTTCTGCATACCTACCACTCCATTTATAATAAATAAAAACAGAGATATATTGACCCCAACCATATATATTTCTGCATACCTACCACTCCATTTGTCTTGGCCTCTACAGTTCCTGCATGTCTATTCTCTGCTTCTGTGCATCTTTTTCTTCTCTTTGCTTCAGTATCTCCATCTTTACTGATATGATTTTCTCGCACTCTCCACTTCTTCTCTGTTCTTAGGTTCTGGTCTGTCCTCATGCCATATTTCTCAGTATTTTTTTCTTCCTCATTTGGTGTTGGGATACGATGTAGGCCTGAAGGACAGATATTGATATTAGCATTGAATATTAGATTTTAAATCATATTATTTCTATACTTTCTCCTTATGCTTATATCAGTTATAGTTAAGAGTAAGGACATAGGATTTTTATGACTTTTAGGTTTCCCACTGCATTAACGGGCGGTTTGCTGACATATTGTCACCTATAGTTACTCAGAGAGCAGGCTAACCAGTGAAATACATAGATTACTAACCTGGGGAATTACTAGTGGCATCTACAGTCCAAATCTGTAACAGCTTTACATGTTACGTGTGTACCAGGTGTTTCTGTACCAGGTGTTTCTGTACCAGGTGTTTCTGTACCAGGTGTTTCTGTACCAGGTGTTTCTGTACCAGGTGTTTCTGTACCAGGTGTTTCTGTACCAGGTGTTTCTGTACCAGGTGTTTCTGTACCAGATGTTTCTGTCAGAGACTAATGTTTGGCATGTTTGTCCATTATATAATGTATGTCACACAAGGGTGTGAAGTAAAAACCTCTACATGATGGACACACACACACACAGTATAGTACCCAAAATATATAAATAATATATAAATATAGAATTTTAATGTCAAAGTCATAAACATGTCGTTATACAGATAATTCAGAAAACAGAAGAAACAGAATTACTCACCTGTGGAAACACCTGAGTCGACAGCAGATGTGTCTACCTTTATATGAGCTCTGCCCATTGTGTTGGTTTCTGTAGCAGGTATGTCTGTCAGAGATAGGTCTATAGCATGTTTGTCTATTATAGAAACGTAGGTTGCAGTTTGCTGGGTGGACAGATATTCTGTATAGAATGTATCCGCTTCCTGTGCTGTATTTTCATGCTCATGTTCCATCTTATGTTCCATCTTATGTTCCGTCTCATGTTCCGTCTCATGTTCTATGTACTGTTCTGTGAGAACCAATGTTAGAACTCCTACATTGAAAACGCTCACACACATATACAGAACCAAAACTTGTAGCATTGCCATGTTATGTCTCTGGATCCAAGCCCCCAAATAACTAAGTTCAAAGCATCAGATTGTAAACTAAACTGGTCCAAAAAAACGTTTAAACTAATCGAGTCAGTCAAAAAAGTGTATGGATCTGAAAAATCAGTCTTGGACCTTTGGAATGAAGAGCAACATCTGCTGAAGATAGCATGCAAAGATGAAACCTCAGATGAGGAACGAAGGACCTGGAGAAAAGGAGAACTCCCAACTGACTCCACTCCACAAAAAGATACTCTACCAGCTTGTAGAAGGTAGAAGGTGAGACTAGAGAGAAGAAAATGCACAGATGAAGAGGGGCACAGAGAGGTCAAGCATTCTCACATTCTAAACAAAGTCACTCGTTCATCCTTCTTGAAAATACAGATCACCCCTCCTCTCCTGTTCTCTGCCCTCCCACGCACTCAGGACATTGCTATAAACTAATAAACACCTGGGTGGAGAGAGGGAGAGATAGAAACAGAGGGATGTGGAGATATATTTAATTATATACATATGGTATATTTAGACAGGGAAATAGAATCGGTTTGTGAAAATGGGGAACAGCTCAACCAAGACAAAGTATTATACAGAGTTGTTTTTACAGACTGACAAACATTGGGGTTTGTGGGGTTTACCAGTCAACATAGGAAATACGGGAACATATGTCCTGAGACACTGATCTATAGTTTGGAAATATTTGTGTTTTACTATTCGGGTGGCTAAATTGATCATGAATATGTGCTTAACAGAAGAGAAGTCTCTTATGGATAATGTAATACTTAAGTGTTAGTAGCTCAGTGGTAGAGTACATGCTTTATATGCATGATGTCCTGGGTTCAATCCCCAGCTCCTCCCCAGGCTGCTGTTGCAAATGAGAAATTGGTAAATACCTGGTCAAAAAACAATTACTCTAATGGGGTGATCCTAAAATAATCCATAAAATCTTTGACCTTACTATTTGAATGTTTTGCCCAAATGATCTTCGATACAATGTAGAGAAAGGGTTTTAATGTGTTCCTGGTCTGGTCGAAGTCCACCTCCCCCTCACCTGGCAATCATCCATTAACATCTATGTACGAAAATAAATATGTCGTTTCTGAAATGAAACATAGTCATGTCAAGGCTGTAACACACATATGATTGCAAACACCCCACATCTCCCTATCATAGAACACAGAATGACAGACAGAACCCTAACCCTGACATAAAGTATGACAGACAGAACCAGAAAACAAGAGAGTGTGAATCTGCAGAAACAGAAAACACACAAACAATGACACTTCTATAATGGTGCCCATACCCTAACCCTATAAATCAGTGTTGCCTATTCCACAGCCTGAACTCTTACCCTAACCATAATCTAGACCACTGGACCAACCCAGATCACAACCTAATAAATATGTTAATAACATTATTAAAGCAACAAAAGAATACGTACTGACACATTCATCCACTTACTCACTAATCTAAACAGATGAGAGGCTAGGTTGTTGTCTAATCTACCACAGAATAGTCTACCACAGGCTAGTCTATCACAGGCTAGTCTACCACAGGCTAGTCTGCCCCAGGCTAGTCTACCACATTTTAGTCTACCACAGGCTAGTCTACCACATTTTAGCCTACCACAGGCTAGTCTACCCCAGGCTAGTCTACCACATTTTAGTCTACCACATTTAAGTCTACCACAGACTAGTCTAACACATTTTAGTCTACCACAGGCTAGTCTACACCAGGCTAGTCTACCACATTTTAGTCTACCACATTTTAGTCTACCACATTTTAGTCTACCCCAGGCTAGTCTGCCACAGTCTACCACAGGCTAGTCTACCACATTTTAGTTTACCACAGGCTAGTCTACCACAGTCTACCCCAGGCTAGTCTACCCCAGGCAAGTCTACCACAGTCTACCACATTTTAGTCTACCACAGGCTAGTCTACCACAGTCTACCACACGCTAGTCTACCACATTTTAGTCTACCACAGGCTAGTCTACCACAGGCTAGTCTACCACAGGCTAGTCTACCGCATTTTAGTTTACCACAGGCTAGTCAACCACAGGCTAGTCTACCATAGACTAGTCTACCACATTTTAGTCTACCACAGGCTAGTCTACCACAGGCTAGTCTACCACATTTTAATCTACCACAGGCTAGTCTACCACAGGCTAGTCTACCACGTTTTAGTCTACCACATGCAGGCTAGTCTACCACATTTTAGTCTACCACAGGCTAGTCTACCACAGGCTAGTCTACCACATTTTAATCTACCACAGGCTAGTCTACCACAGGCTAGTCTACCACGTTTTAGTCTACCACATGCAGGCTAGTCTACCACATTTTAGTCTACCACAGGCTAGTCTACCACAGGCTTGTCTACCACAGACTAGTCTACCACAGGCTAGTCTACCACAGGCTCAGGAAAAGTTGGTGACTCCAGCTTTGTTTGAATAAAAACAGGACCCACCCACCATGTTTGTTCTTCAGGACCTTTTGGGGACCCTAATTTTTCACAAGCATTCTTAACCTGTCACGACTCCAGCAGAGGGTGTGGCAGCTCCATCTGCGGGCGGTATTCGGCGGTCGTCCTTTCCGGCATATTAGTCATCCCCCAATCTCCTCCCCCCCTGCACATCTTGTTCAGTCTCGTCATCACTACACCTGGTGTCCATTACCTCATTAGAGGACTAAGGCGCTGCGTCGCCTTATTGACAGGTTGGACATTAGCGTATTAAACGCTCTATACTGCGTTCCTGGAGTACTCTATAAAGACTATTGGAACGCTACCCGTTACTGGCTTCATCCTTCAGTCCATCCTACACACCGTGACATAACCATTACTCCAACAACTAACTCCATGCTTACCCAGACTCTAACCCCAACTATACCCCTAAATTTAATTAAGTTAAATAGCCCTTATGTTTATGACTGAACTTAACCTAACACTAATGCTTAACACAAAACTTGAAACTAAGCCCAATTCTGATACATTTTGCATGTGACAAGACCTTGTGATGACCGAATTGTTTATTTTTTTCATAATATACTTATGGTTGGTTTTTGACCTGAGACTACCCTGGAACATGGCAAATGTAAATGTGTACATGGCAAAAAGTTTCCAAATGTCATATTCATATTATGTAGGCTTAACATGACATAACACATTTACATTGATACATTTAGAATACACTGTTGTTGACTGTGATAAAGGCCTTGTATGTGATAGGCCAGGGGTTCTCACCCTTGTTTGTGATATAGGCCAGGGGTTCTCACCCTTGTTTGTGATACAGGCCAGTGGTTCTCAACCTTGTTTGTGATATAGGCCAGGGGTTCTCAACCTTGTTTGTGATATAGGCCAGGGGTTCACAACCTTGTTTCTGATATAGGCATTAATATAATGTTAGGTTAGTTAATCAGTGGGCTATTTAAGGTCCCTAGTTAGGTTCACAAGTGCTTGTTATTAATTAAATGTTACATAGGTTAGTTAATCAGTGGGCTATTTAAGGTCCCTGGTTAGGTTCACTGGTGCTTGTTATTAATATAATGTTACATAGGTTAGTTAATCAGTGGGCTATTTAAGGTCCCTGGTTAGGTTCACAAGTGCTTGTTATTAATATAATGTTACATAGGTTAGTTAATCAGTGGGCTATTTAAGGTCCCTGGTTAGGTTCACAGGTGCTTGTTATTAATATAATGTTACATAGGTTAGTTAATCAGTGGGATATTTAAGGTCCCTGGTTAGGTTCACTGGTGCTTGTTATTAATATAATGTTACATAGGTTAGTTAATCAGTGGGATATTTAAGGTCCCTGGTTAGGTTCACTGGTGCTTGTTATTAATATAATGTTACATAGGTTAGTTAATCAGTGGGCTATTTAAGGTCCCTGGTTAGGTTCACTGGTGCTTGTTATTAATATAATGTTACATAGGTTAGTTAATCAGTGGGCTATTTAAGGTCCCTGGTTAGGTTCACTGGTGCTTGTTATTAATATAATGTTACATAGGTTAGTTAATCAGTGGGCTATTTAAGGTCCCTGGTTAGGTTCACTGGTGCTTGTTATTAATATAATGTTACAAAGGTTAGTTAATCAGTGGGCTATTCAAGGTCCCTGGTTAGGTTCACTGGTGCTTGTTATTAATATAATGTTACATAGGTTAGTTAATCAGTGGGCTATTTAAGGTCCCTGGTTAGGTTCACGGGTGCTTGTTATTAATATAATGTTACATAGGTTAGTTAATCAGTGGGCTATTTAAGGTCCCTGGTTAGGTTCACGGGTGCTTGTTATGAATTCAATGTTGTAATGTTACGTGGAGTTATAGGTGAGTGTTTTCTGTCTAGTTCGCTGTTTTGTGACATTTAGTAGACGCCATTCAGCGCACTTTCTTTTCATTACAGTCACTCGTTTTTTTCGTTTGTTGTTCAACAGAACAATGGAAGTTAAATTAACAACTCTAAGTGCTTAGTTAAGCTCTAAAAGGCACTTGTTTTTACATGCTTACTCAGTCTGTATCCGTCTGTACCCTGCAACCGAGGCAGCTTCTGCCCGTCTGTACCCGAGCCAGCTTCTGCCCGTCTGTACCCTCCAACCGAGCCAGCTTCTGCCCGTCGGTACCCTGCAACCGAGCCAGCTTCTGCCCGTCTGTACCCTCCAACCGAGCCAGCTTCTGCCCGTCTGTACCCTCCAACCGAGCCAGCTTCTGCCCGTCGGTACCCTGCAACCGAGCCAGCTTCTGCCCGTCTGTACCCTCCAACCGAGCCAGCTTCTGCCCGCCTGTACCCTCCAACCGAGCCAGCTTCTGCCCGTCTGTACCCTGCAACCGAGCCAGCTTCTGCCCGCCTGTACCCTGCAACCGAGCCAGCTTCTGCCCGTCTGTACCCTCCAACCGAGCCAGCTTCTGCCCGTCGGTACCCTGCAACCGAGCCAGCTTCTGCCCGTCTGTACCCTCCAACCGAGCCAGCTTCTGCCCGCCTGTACCCTGCAAACCGAGCCAGCTTCTGCCCGTCTGTACCCTCCAACCGAGCCAGCTTCTGCCCGTCGGTACCCTGCAACCGAGCCAGCTTCTGCCCGTCTGTACCCTGCAAACCGAGCCAGCTTCTGCCCGTCTGTACCCTGCAACTGAGCCAGCTTCTGCCCGTCTGTACCCTCCAACCGAGCCAGCTTCTGCCCGTCGGTACCCTGCAACCGAGCCAGCTTCTGCCCGTCTGTACCCTGCAAACCGAGCCAGCTTCTGCCCGTCTGTACCCTGCAACTGAGCCAGCTTCTGCCCGTCTGTACCCTGCAACCGAGCCAGCTTCTGCCCATCTGTACCCTGCAAACCGAGCCAGCTTCTGCCCGTCTGTACCCTGCAACTAAGCCAGCTTCTGCCGCCCGAGTCTGGTCCGTCGAGGCGCCTCACCTTCACTGTATGACAGGGCACCCAACCCTCGTGGTTGTTCCTGTGGGTGGTGGGTCCACAGGACGTAGAGGAGAGAGATGCCATTTATCACTTTCGGGCTGTGCCTGGCTGGGCTCTGTGGCAAACGCAAATGTTTTCTCTTTGACGTTTATTGGAAAGTTTAAACCTCTGTATCGACTCCTGTGTCTGGATCTTCAATCTTTTCCCAGCCTTGATAGAATGCCCCACAAATATAGATCCTTAATGAGCAAATTGGAAATGCACTACGCTGCATGCAGAGTTACTAAATCTTTAGTCCCTCCAGTAACCTCACAGTCGACTTCACACCGCATTGTAGTCCTCAACCCTCCCTCCAGTAACCTCAGTCGACTTCACACCGCATTGTAGTCCTCAACTCTCCCTCCAGTAACCTCACAGTCATCTTCACACCTCATTGCTGTCCTCAATCCTCCCTCCAGTAAC